CTCCATCCCCCCGGTTTTGGGGCTCCATCCCCCCGGTTTTGGGGCTCCCTCCCCCCGGTTTTGGATCTCCATCCCCCCAGTTTTGGGGCTCCCTCCCCCCGGTTTTGGGGCTCCCTCCCCCCGGTTTTGGGGCTCCCTCCCCCCGGTTTTGGGGTCCCACCTGGCGGCGGCAGCTGCGGATCCCGACCCCGGTGCGGGCGCTGACCTCGTCCAGCTCCTTCTTGGTGCCCTTGGAGAGTTTCTTCCCCAGCAGCTCCCGGGCCAGGGCCTCGTCGAAGGCGTAGTAACTGTGGGGAGCCCGAAAACGGGGGGAACAGTGCCTCCCAGTGCTCCCAGTTCCAGCCCCAGTCCTTCCCAGTGCTCCCAGTTCCAGCCCCAGTCCTTCCCAGTGCTCCCAGTCCCAGCCCCAGTCCTTCCCAGTGCTCCCAGTTCCAGCCCCAGTCCTTCCCAGTGCTCCCAGTCCCAGCCCCAGTCCTTCCCAGTGCTCCCAGTTCCAGTGTCCCAGTTCCAGCCCCAGTCTTTCCCAGTCTCCCAGTCCCAGTGTCCCAGTCCCAGTCCCAGTTCCCCGGTTCCGTTTCCCCGTTTCCCCGGTCCGGTCCCGGTCGGTTCCGGTTCCGTTTCCCCGGTCCGGTCCCGGTTCCGGTTCGGTTCCGGTTCCGTTTCCCCGTTTCCCGGTCCGGTCCCGGTCCGGTCCCGTTTCCCCGTTTCCCCGTTTCCCGGTCCGGTCCCGGTCGGTTCCGGTTCCCCATTTCCCCGTTTCCCCGGTTCAGTCCCGGTCGGTTTCGGTTCCCCATTTCCCCGTTTCCCGGTCCGGTCCCGGTCGGTTCCGGTTCCGTTTCCCCGGTTCAGTCCCGTTTTCCCGTTTCCCCGTTTCCCGGTCCGGTCCCGGTCGGTTCCGGTTCCGTTTCCCCGTTTCCCGGTCCGGTCCCGTTTCCCCGTTTCCCGGTCCGGTCCCGTTTCCCCGGTTCAGTCCCGTTTCCCGGTCCGGTCCCGGTCCGGTCCCGGTTCAGTCCCGTTTCCCCGTTTCCCGGTCCGGTCCCGGTCCGGTCCCGTTTCCCCGTTTCCCCGTTTCCCGGTCCGGTCCCGGTCGGTTCCGGTTCCGTTTCCCCGTTTCCCGGTCCGGTCCCGTTTCCCCGTTTCCCGGTCCGGTCCCGTTTCCCCGGTTCAGTCCCGTTTCCCGGTCCGGTCCCGGTCCGGTCCCGGTTCAGTCCCGTTTCCCCGTTTCCCGGTCCGGTCCCGGTCCGGTCCCGTTTCCCCGTTTCCCCGTTTCCCGGTCCGGTCCCGGTCGGTCCCGGTACCGCTGGACGAGCAGCGCCTGTCTGTCGGGCGGGATTTGGAAGAGCAGCTGCTGCAGCAGGCGCGGGGGCGCGTGCAGGAGCCGCTCCAGCATCTGGAACGTTCTGTAGTGGTCGCGGGTGTCGCTCTGCAGCACGGCCACCGATGTCCCCTCGCGCTCCAGGACACCCCCGCGCAGGCGGCGTGCCACCGCCTCGGCCACTGCCACAGGGACAGGGACATGGGGACATGGGGACACGGGGACACCCAGGGGGACATGGGGACACGGGGACACCCAGGGGGACATGGGGACATGGGGACATGGGGACACCCAGGGGGACATGGGGACATGGGGACATGGGGACATGGGGACACAGGGACACCCACAGGACACCCCCGCGCAGGCGGCGCGCCACCGCCTCGGCCACTGCCACAGGGACAGGGACATGGGGACATGGGGACACGGGGACACCCAGGGGGACATGGGGACATGGGGACATGGGACATGGGGACATGGGGACACGGGGACACCCAGGGGGACATGGGGACATGGGGACATGGGGACACGGGGACACCCAGGGGGACATGGGGACATGGGGACATGGGGACACCCACAGGACCCCCCCGCGCAGGCGGCGTGCCACCGCCTCGGCCACTGCCACAGGGACATGGGGACATGGGGACACTGAGGGGACATGGGGACATGGGGACACCCAGGGGACATGGGGACACCCACAGGACACCCCCGCGCAGGCGGCGTGCCACCGCCTCGGCCACTGCCACAGGGACATGGGGACACGGATGGGGACATGGGGACACTGAGGGGACATGGGGACATGGGGACATGGCGACATGGGGACACCCAGGGGGACATGGGGACACCCACAGGACACCCCCGCGCAGGTGGCGCGCCACCGCCTCGGCCACTGCCACAGGGACAGGGACATGGGGACACCCAGGGGGACATGGGGACACTGAAAGGGACATGGGGACACCGAGCGGGACAGGGGGACACGGACACAGCATGGGATGGGGGACACGGACATGGGGACATGGGGACACTGAGGGGACATGGGGACATGGGGACATGGGGACAGGGACACAGGAGCAGGGACAGCAGGACAGGGGGACACAGGGACACCACTGGGGCCAGCAGGTGACCCCAGGCACGCTCAGGTGTGTCCCCCCTGTCCCCAGGTGTGTCCCCAGGTGTCCCCATGTCCCCAGGTGTCCCCATGTCCCCAGGTGTCCCCGCCGTACCCGAGTGCCCGTCCAGCCACAGCCGGTACACTTCCTCATCGATCAGCGTCGTGTTCCCCACGAACACGTCCAGGTCACTGCTCATGCCTGGGGACAGCCCCGCGTCCCCAAATGTCCCCTGGTGTCCCCAGAGGTCCCCTGGTGTCCCCAAATGTCCCCTGGTGTCCCTCAGGTGTCCCCAGACCCGCTGACCCCACTCTGGGCACCCCCTGAGCCCTCCCGGCCACCCTGGGACCGCCCCCCCCCAAACTGGGACCGCCCCGCCCCCAAACTGGGACAGCCCCCCCCCAAACTGGGCCAAACT